CCATAAAAAATGATAAAATAATGCCATTTGCAGCAATATGGATGGCCCTAAAGAATGTCATTCTAAGTGAAGTAAGCCAGAAAGAAAGAAAAATACCATATCACTTATATGTGGAATCTAAGGTGGCGGGGGAGACAAATGAACTTACACATAAAACAGAAACAGACTCACAGACATAGAATACAGATTTCTGGTTGCCAAGGGAGAGGGAAGGGATAAACTGGGAGTTCAATATAATGCAGGTACTGACTAGCACATATAAAATAAACAAGTTTACACTACTTTATAGCACAGGGGACTATATTCAATATCTTGTAGTAGCTTATGGTGAGTAAGAATGAAAATGAATATATGTATATTCATGTATGTCTGAAGCATTGTGCTGTACACCAGAAATTGACACAACATTGTAAAATCACTATACTTCAATTTAAAAACAAAAGAAAAAACCCAATCCAAAAATGGGCACAGGACCTAAACAAGCAATTCTCCAGTGAAGACATACAAATGGCTAACAGGCACGTGAAAAAATTCTCAGTATCACTCATTATGAGAGAAATGCAAATCAAAATGAGGTATCACCTAACTCCAGTCAGAAATGGCCATCATTCAAAAGTCCATTAAGGATAAATGCTGGAGAGGCTGTGAGGAAAAGGGAACCCTCCTACACTGTTGGTAGGAATGTAGTTTGGCACAGCCATTATGGAAAACACTATGGAGATTCCTCAAAAAACTAAAAACTGACTTACCGTATGATCAAGCAATCCCACTTCTGGGTATACATCCAGAGGCAATTCTAATTTGAAAAGATACCTGCACCCCAATGTTCACAGCAGCACTACTTAAAATAGCCAAGACATGAAAACAACCTAAATGTCCATCGACAGATGACTGGATAAAGAAGTTGTGGTGTATTTTTTTTTATTGAGTTATAGTCATTTTACAATGTTGTGTCAAATTCCAGTGTAGAGCACAATCTTTCAGTTATACATGAACATACATACATTAATTGTCACATTCTCTTTTGCTGTGAGCCACCACAAGATCCTGTATCCATTTCCCTGTGCTACACAGTACAATCTTGTTTTTCTGTTCTACATTTTGAAATCCCAGTGTGTCCCTTCCCACCCCTCAGAAGTTGTGGTATATTTATACAGTGGAATACTACTCAGCCATAAAAAAAACCATTTGCAGAACATGGATGGACCTAAAGATCATCATTCTAGGTGACATAAGCCAGAAAGAGAAAGAAAAGTAACATATCACTCATATGTAGAATCTAAAATCTAAATTTTTTAAAATTTTTTTAAAAATTAAAAGAGAAGACAAATACAGAACAGAAACAGACATAGAATACCAACTTATGGTTGCAGGGGGGAGGGGAGTGGGAAGGGACAGACTGGGATTTGAAGAACTGTCGATTCTGACACATATACATAGAATAAACAAGTTTACACTGTATAGCACAGGGAAACATACAAGATCCGTAGCTCACATTGAAAAGGAATATAAAAATGAACATATGTATATTCATGTATGACTGAAAAATTATGCTGTACACCAGAAATTGACACATTGTAAACTAACAAAAAAAAATAGACTGTGATCAAGTTTTTTAAAAAAAGACACTATGAACTCATCTACAAAACAAACATTCACAGACACAGTAAACAATCTTATGGTCACCACGGAAAGGGTGTGAATGGATAAACTTGGGAGTTTGAGATTTGTAAATGTTAGCCACTATATACAAAAATAGATTTAAAAAAAAGTTTCTTCAGTATAGCACAAGGAACTATTTTCAGTATCTTATAATAACCTTTAATGAAAATGAATATATGTATGTATATGCATGACTAAGACATTGTGCTATACACCAGAAACTGACACATTATAACTGACTGTACTTCAATTAAAAAAAATAATATATTTTCAAATTAAAAAAAATTTAATTGAATCTGACACACCAACCCCTACCCAATGTATAACAAAGTCTATCATTAAAATCACAAATTATGTATCATAACTGCCTTAAGCTCAATTAACTTACTACGTAGCAGGAATGCTTTGGAAGTCTACCTACCTTGGTTCATACGCTCCAATGGGAAGAGCTGCAAGGTCAAAAGGCCCAAATCTTTTTCCTATTTCTTCAAAAGCAGAGCAATAACCAGTGTCTCCGGCGAAAAAAAACCTGCTCCAGGGCCCCAAGACAGACCAGCTGCCCCAGAGAACCTTGTTGTCATCCACGGGAGTCCTTTTGCACCAGTGCTGGGAAGGCGTAAACACAAAGGTGACCTTGTCGTGTCCAGGGACACAGTTCTCCTCCCACCAGTCCAGCTCGATCACGTTCTCGCAGCCACATTTCTGCATCCAGTCTAGGAGACCCAAAGGCACAAACCATCTCAACTCATTCCCGAATCGCTCATTCAGAGCAATGACAGAATTGTAGTCCAGGTGGTCATAGTGGTTGTGACTGATCAGGACCGCATCTATGGGGGGCAGCTCGCCGATGGTGCACGGGGGACGGCGAAACCGCTTGGGGCCCAGGTGCTGCGACGGGGAGGCCCGAGCGCTGAAGATGGGATCCGTGAGGAAGATGAGCTCGTCCATTTCCACCATCACGGTCGCATGTCCTAGCCATGTGACTCTCAGGCCTGCTTCCCTCACTCCAACTTCTTCAGGGTTGTTGATAAAATATGGCTTAAGCACCGGGAGTTCTTTATCAAGTTCCTGTGTGCATAAAGAAAGAAGCAGCCACTATTTTAAAAAAGAGAACTAAAAAATGGCATATGTCGTCAATCATATTTTGACCTGAATTATAGAGAAGGTTATATGGGAAGAACCAAAGTCATTCAATAAATTTGCCATTTTTGCTTTTCTCTTGAACATGCATACTTCCTTCCGAATCAGGCTCAATTACTATGACAATACAGTAATTTAAGATCTCCTCAGTCCCAAATGCAAAGGACAAAGGGAAAATTAAATGTGAAACGTTGAGTACTGCTGACTTGACTAAATTCAGGCAAGACGCTTCTATAACTGGCAGGAGGCGCCGGGCCGAGGCGCAGTCCCTCTGCTACCGCAGTTCTGGTCCTGCTGAGAACTGCCTCCCAGAGAAGATCCGCGCCCACAAGCAGTGAAGAAAACTTTTGACCACTTACGCGTAGATCCTGGATCTCAGATACGAACCTGACTTCCTTAGTACACAGAATTCAGTGCTTATTCCTGGGCAAATCCCAGTCACGGACGGTTCTCCCCACTCCTCACCCTTGAGGTTTTTCTACCACTGATCAAACCAAAGTGAAAATATGGTCCCTGCCCATGATAAGCTCATCACTTTTGGGGACAAACAGATGTGAAACAATAACTACAAGAAAACGTGGTAAGTGTTCCTGCTCTGGTTATTCTACATTTCATCCTTGAACTAAGCTAGATGAAACAAGCAGCTGTGTTGTAGGCTCACAGTCCTGACTTCTATAAAACTGCTTCCATAAACTCTGCTTTGGGGTTCTGCCACACAGCTGCATGCACATCTGTTACAGGAAGCCGCCTGGAGAAACATACACCGCAGGGCTGTCTCTGACTGGGAACCACCCCACCCACCCCACCTCCTCACTCACCCCAGAAACATGTCTCTTAATTCCCTGTAACAGGAAAAGCTCCTCTTCTCCAGAGCAGCTGGCTTTATTCATTCGACTGTCACGAGGGAAACCGATCATTCCTGCTTGGCTTTTTGCTTTGACTCGGAAGTTCAGAATAAAAGCTGAGGCTGCCTCTGCGGTGTGCAGTGTGATGAAACAGTTTCTATACTAACTGTATTCTTGGCTGTTTTTCTATTCTAATTGTCCATTTGGTCTTGTATATCCATCCATCAATTTTTTACTGCTACAAGTCCTTTTTATAAGTTGCTGCAAGTCAATTTTGAAAAAGATGTGGTATTGGATAATTAAATAAAATACACGACATGCTACAGGCTAATAAGAAAGCTGCCGAAGGTACTACAGACACAGTAAGTTGTGTGGGTTCCTGAGGAATGAATTCATGAGGCAGAGAGGAGGAAGGGCCTTTCAGGTGGAGAAAATGCCCAAGCAAAGGCAGAGAGCCAAGTAGGAATACGGCATCTGGAGGCAGGAGACAATGGAATTTATAAAGGATCAGAAAACAGTAAGAGCCTTGAATGCCGTAGCTTACCCAGAGACAGTAAGGAAAATCATTTAAAAAAAAAAAAAAAAAAAGACATGACCCATTTACATTTAGAGAAAACAGATGATGAGCTGGGGTGCATCCCCTCAGCCGCCTGCAGAGATACAGACCTGGACAAAGGAGACGGCGCTGGGCAGGGATGAGAGGGTGGATGGGGAGGCTGGTGAAGGGAAACAGGTCACTGAGCCTGTCCCAGTGGGAAAACGGCCCGGACAGGGAGGAGCAGCAGCAGAGGTAGAGGATGATCAAGATTTCTCTTAGCCACTGTCAGCCATTGTTTCCCCATCTGAGAAATGGGTGTAACAATCACCTACCTATAATCACTGGAAACTGAATTAGGAGCACCAGGCACACAGCAAGCCCTCTGCACGTGTTCTAGAAGAAGCAAGCGAGCCCCAACCCTAACAGCCAGTCAGGCACCAACCTATCCATCTCTCGTATTTTTCTTAAAATCCATTTCCTTTCTCATAGTTTCTAACCGAGTTAAGATCTTAAGTAACATCAAGGCACTTTAAAGTCCTCCTGGGGGCGGGGGTTACAACTCAGTGGTAGAGCGCATACTTAGCATGCATCATGTCCTGGGTTCAATCCCCAGTACCTCCCCTAAAAATAAATAAACCTAATTCCCTCCCCCATCTTGCCAAAAAGAATTTTTTTTTAATTAAAAAAAAAGATTAGAGAAGTTACAGCACTCACATGACTGCACTCCACGCCTCAGACAACTATACATACTCCCAAATATCTCATTTAATACATAAAAACAGTACAGGCACACCTAGTTTAAATGCACTTCACAGATACCTTTTTTTTCTTTTTTCAGTAAACTGAAGGTTTGTGGCAACCCCACCTTGTCAGGTGATGGTTAGCATTTTTTAAGCAATAAAGTATTTTCAAATTAAGTACTGTACATCATTGTTTTTTTAAGACAAAATGCTACTGCACACTTAACAGACTACAGTATATAGTAAACATAACTTTTATACGCACTAGAAAACCAAAAAATTGGTGTGACTGGCTTTATGGCTTTACTGCAGTGGGCTGGAACCCAACCTGCAGTACCTCCGAGGTGTGCCTGTAACACACAGCCTGCAGGGCAGATGGGGGAGTGAGAGACGGATTACTACAAAGGAAATTTTGGAGATGATGGGTATGTTCACTATCTTGATCATGGTGATCATTTTGTGGGTATATACAACTATCAGAACTCATCAAATTGTACTTTTTGAATATGTGGAGCTTGTATTATGTTAATAAAACTATAAAAAAAATTTTAAGTACCAAGTTTGGACAGTGCATCAGAACAGCTGAAACAAAATTCCCTGAAGCTTGCTGCATTTTCTTCTCACTCTAAGTTTAAAAGCCATTTGAAGTTTTATACCTGACATTATCTGATGATGACTGAGAGGAAACAAAGTAAAACCTTGAGCACCTCTGACAGCCTCACCTTATTCTCCAAACACCGTATTACCAGGTGAACTGTGAAAGAAGCCTGTCACAAAGGACCATATATCATGTGATCCTATTTATATGAAATCTCCAGAATAGGCAAATCCATAGAGATAGAAAAGAGATGAGCGATTTCCGGGGCTGGAGGATGACAGGAGAACTGGGGGGTGATGACTAAGGACATGGGGTTTCTTTTGGGGGTAATTAAAGTGCATTAGATTGTGGTGACGGCTGCACAACTCTGAATGTACTGAAAACCACTGAACTGTACACTTTAAACAGGTCAATCGCATGGCACCTGAATTTTATCTCAAAGCTATTTTTAAAAAAGGTAAAAGGCTGACAAGACACCTGGATTAAACGGTCACACTTTTCTTCAAGTTCCTTTCTTCACGATACATTGGTTTCCAAGCCCATCACAAAAGACTAGCTTATTTTAAATAATTTGATTTCTAGCACTACTATCCTGTGAAATTCAAAGAAATAGAGCCTACAGTTGCGATTCCAAAAAGAAAAGTTTTTTTTTTATCCTAATCATCAGAGTTTCAAAAAGCACATAGAATGGGGGCAGAGAAATTCTTGTTTATCTGAGGAAACCACGCACTCACTTGGCATTTTCTTTACTAGATCAAGATTCTTCTTGGCTGGTCTTCCTTTTTTAAAGCTACAAATGGGAAAATCCCCTGGCCCATAATTAACCAGTACACTAGTTAACGTTTTACTTTTCTTAAGAAAAGGGGAAATCTCAACATTCATTCACCCACTACTCTTCTAACTGAAAGCATCTTTTTACTGTTTTAGGAAACTTTTGTATTTATTACTCTGCAACTCAAATTTAAAGTTTAAATACAATTTTTTCATTTTCGTATTTATTTTGATGATACAAGTGACCACTGAATAGAGACTGATCTGTTACCAAAATACCTCTAATTCAATTAATTATTAATGTACAATGTTTTATATTTATATTTAAACGCCTCCTTAATTATAAAAGAAAATGCCCTTCATAAAATACTTCGAAAATAGAGAAAACATATAAAGATGGTAAGAGTAGCCATCCATTATACCAATGTGAAGAGATTATAACCACTGTTATCTTTATGCACAGGTCGATTTTTATGCACAGTTAAGATCAGAGTATTCATATTTTCTAGGTTTTTTAAAATTTCATATTGCGACAGTTTTCATCCATCACTTAAAACTCTGAGACAAACAATGAAGTATTTAAAATGGAAACAAATACATTCTTGAGGAAATCTGCCAGAAAGCAAAACAAAAAAATTAATAGAGATGAAGTACAGGAGAAAATATCACAGATTGATTTAAGAGGTCCAAAATATGATTAATAACCATTTTAGAAGGAAAAATCGTTTAGAATAAAAAGAGGGAAGGACATTTTCAAAGAAACAGACAAAATTTCCTAGACCGAAGTCAAAAACTTTTCACATCTAAAGGGCTCACCAGGCATGGAGCACAATGAATAAACAAATAACCACATATCGTGTTGAAACAGTCAAATTCACAGACTCAGAGTGGAAGAGTGGTTGCCAGGGGCTGGGGGAAGAGGGAGGTGGGAGCTCCTGTCAGCAGGTATTAGGTTGCAGTTACGCAAGATGAGTAAGCTCCACGGATGTGCTGTACAACATGGTACCTGGAGTCAACGATAAGGCACCGCACGCTTATAACTAAGGGGTAGATCTCATGGAAATGCTCTTACCACAATAAAATTAAAGAAAAGAAATAGGCAGATAAACTCCAGAAGAAACAGCTTAAAGGGTTGAAAGTTGCTGCCTCTGGGGAGGGGACAGGCTGGCAGAGGCTGGTTAGGAGACTGCTATTTTTCTTATAAGCCTGTCGGTACTGACTTTTTAAAAGCTGCATACCTATAAATTTTTCCTTGATAAAAGTTAAAAAGCAACCTGTTAGCAAACTAGAAAAACAGGGCATACACCGAGAGAATAATAAAATTCAAAAAGACACATGCACCTCAATGTTCATAGCAGCACTATTTACAGTATCCAAGACTTAGAAACAACTCAAATGTCCATCAACAGATGACTGGATAAAGACGACATGGTACAGATATACAATGGAACACTACTCGGCTGTAAAAAAAAAGAAAACAATAATGCCATTTGCAGCAACATGGGTGGACCTGAATACCATCACTCTAAGTGAAGCCAGAAAGAGAAAGAAAAATGCTGTATGACTGCTATCACTTACAAGTGGAATGTAAAATGAATAAATAACCAACCAACAAAAAAAACACTATAAAATAAAATAACTAGTATGTTTCACTTTTTCAAAGTGCCTCCCATCTTCAGTATCATACATCTGCAGAGTACGTGGTATTTCCAAAGCACTTTCACATGTTGTGTGAATCTCAAAACAATCCTAGGAACTTAAACTGTCTTAGCCTAAATTTACAGACAGAAAAAGAAGAGTTCCTCAAAGGGACCATGATAGAAGTAAGGTCACACTCTTGGTTAGGAACCCGAGCCTGAGCCTGTTGTCCCACTTTCTCCACCAGCCATACTGCATGGCCTCAGTCCCGTGTCTCTGTCACACTCCATTGTGACTGCCCCTCTCCCCTCTACAGCAGTAACTGAGAAGCACAGCCTCCTTCCACTAATGAAACTCAGGAGATGCCTGCTTCCCTCCCTCTTTAAAACTCTCCAGTCATCTCTGCCCTGAGTGTTGGAGACAATCAACAATGGTAACAATCAGACAAGGTCACTGAGCCAGTGCAAGAACACAGGGCAACGACAGCCCACGAACAACGCGAAGTCTGTGCTCGGACCACTGCTCCAGTGACCCGGAACAAGCAAATGGCACGACAGCACAGGGAACTATGTTCAACATCCTGTAGCAACTTACGGTTAAAAAGAGTAAGAAAACGAACATACGTATGTTCCTGTATGACTGAAGCACTGTGCTGTACAGCAGAAACTGACAGCATTGTAAACTGACTATACTTCAATAAAAAATTTTAAAAAAAAAAGCAAATGGCAGGAACGGTCCAAGTACTGTTTTCTGATCAGGCAACTAAATTGTGTAGCTCAACTAAAAGCCTATTTCATTTTGTTTATACCTGTTGTACTGTTATCTTATCCTTTCATCATGTTTTTTCCAAAATACTTTCATATTCATATACCTAAATATATTATAATGATATAAACTGCATAATACATAGTCATTACAGTCCTACATAAATCATATCATCCTCTCCTTCCAAAACAGTAATCTGAAGTTGTGCCAATGTCTAACAAAATAATTTCCAGAAACCTGATTAAATTCTGAACAGACCCAGTAATCTGAAGTAGACATTCTTTACATGGTCTTTAATTTTTTTTTAAATGAAGGACACTATCACATTCAGGAGTTCTTAAAAGTAATAATTTTGGCAATTTAAAGGTATTAAATATGGACTTAAGAGTTATCTGTGAAAGCAACAGAAGTCAGCGTGCTCTTGATCTAGTTTTAGGCTTGTACTGGAAACAAGGGGGAAACGAGACATAGGTAAAAGAAAACAGAAATTGGAACAGGACAAAGGTGTCTCCTCTCTCTTGCATTACACTGAATGTGTTAAAGTAGTTCATACTGAGACCTCCTTTTGACACTTCCTTTAAAAAGAAACTGCCTGCCTTAGGGGGAAAAAAAAGAGAGCTTACACATCATTAAAGAATGCGGCTCCCACCTCCATGCATTAACTTCCTTCTCTCTTTTTACTCCTCAAAGCACTCTCATCTTTCATCCTTCAATATCCTACATCACTTACTTGTTTGTTTTTTGTCTCTTCCACTAAACCTAAGGTCCAAGGAAGCCAGGGTATCTTTCTGCTTTGCTCATGGCTCTAACTCTAGCACACAGAACAGTGTGCCGGGCACACAGCAGGTGCTCAGTAAAACACTGACTAAATGAATGAGTTAACAGACAGGCTTGAGAAGTGCCCAGGAACTCCCTAAAATTATGGTAAAATGCCATCTGTTTATGCACACGTGTATATTTCTCTAAGAAGCGGGTCTGCAGCTTTCATCAGATTTTCAAGAGGGGCCAGTATCCACAAGGGTTTAAGAACAACTGGCCTGGCGAGTTCTCAGAAATTCAACCCAGTTTCTAGAATATCTCCAAATCATTAGAGTGCAGAGATGTTATTTTCACCTTCATGTGGTCACTTGCTTTCCTCTTTGAGAGGAAACAAAACTAAAAGGACAGAAATACTTCTTTATTTTTAGAAGCTGTAGCCCAAACACCAGGAAGAAATTTACTCCAACAGATAGCCTTCCCATCTCAGCCTCCTGACCTAAACTCTTCTTTTCACAGCTTGACTCCGTGTTTCTCTTCACACTGGGTTCTTCAGAAGAAAAAAAATGTTCTTGTTTTTCCAACCCTCAAAGTTGAGACAAATAATAAGGTTTTATTAATATTCTGACTCATTCTTTAGAAGTACTGGGAAAGTACTATTCATGTTAATCACCTGTTACTAGGATTAATACTATGAACATTCCTTAGCATCAAAATTATAATACCAGGTTTTTAAACCTCACACCTTTTAAGGGAAAGTGGACACGCTTACCCAAGTAGAAGACCTACCACCACCACCACTCACACACCCACCCACCTCTTCCCACTGCAGATCAAACCTTCAGGGATGCCACCCACTTCCAATGTCTGGTTCTTTATCTCTCAGTTCCCCAGAAAGCCAAGCAGGACAGGGGTTGGTGGAAAAGAGAAGCCAAGGGAGGCAGGAGGTGGAAAGGGGCAAAAACTAAGGAAGGAGAAAAAAGTGCTACTGCAGCTGGGAACAGCCACTCCCCACCAAAGTAAAATCGCATTCGCCTAATAAGCTGGAGGCCAAACGTTAACAATCTCATCCTACGCTTAACTAGCATATTCAAAGGCCAGTAAACTACTGCTCATTTTTAAGGGTCTAGAAAGGTCATCAACAATTTCTTTTACAGCTTTAGCAGCTTTATCCAAGGATGAAGAACCAAGCACGCTAGCCTTAACCCTGATAATTCACATTCCAAACACTCAGATTACTACTTTCTAGAACATGTCACGCACTCTCTCACCTTCGTGACCTTGGTCATGCCATCATCTACCAGGAACACCACTGCCAACTACCTTTCATCCTTCCAGGCCCAGCTCAAATAGCACCTCCTCTGTGAAGCCATTTCCAATCCCACCAGCCAGAATTAACCGCTTCCTTTCCTGTGCGTGAGCATTCTGTTCCTACCTCTAGTTGCCACCAGATCAGAGCTGGTTATTCACACATGTACTCTGCTGTTAAATCACGAACCTGAAGGCACCTTATTCACATCATCTCCCCAGAACCTCATCACCCAAAAGGGCTCAATTAACTGACTTGCGTGTCAGAATACAATTCACAGCAGAGTTAAGTAATATGTATGTTAAGAGTAAATATGACGCACCCAAAAAGCCGAACGTTACCTCTTTGGAGGTCGGAACACTGCTGTGATTTTTTTCCATTATCAGCCATCTGAGAGCATTTGGAATAGAGGGGGTTTTCCACGTTGGCCAAGGATTAACAAACCTCCCATCCTTTCCTTTCTTTGACTTAGTTACATCTTCTTCTAGTCTGTAATCCAGTTTAAAACTTTTCCTGGAAAACCTAGAAGAATCACTTCCTCCAGAATTCCGTGAATTTTGGCGTTTTCTTACTGCTTCTTTAGGATACTGACTACTTGTCATCAGGGACTGGTTGCTTTCATTTTCATCCATGTCCTTTGGTGACGAGCTAAAAAAAAAGAGGGGGAAGGAACAACTTGAGCTTCATATAAAGACATAAAAACTTATTATAGAGTATTACTTCTTAACCAACAAAATTTTCCTCAAACCTATAAAAATGTCTCTATTAGCTCAAATTTTCTTCCTGCAAAATACAATTTTAGAATCTAGCATTACTGCTCTCTAAACAGAAAAGATGTCTGCTTTACTTATTACTGCCAAATCTTTCAGATATTCCTTATCTGCTGTAATCCAAGACAATCTACTCTACCATCCAGCACTTAAACATATGAAAAATTTCCATTTCAATGACATTCTGTAGAATAAATTAAAGCTCCTTCATGAATCTGTAATATTTTCATACCTGCATTTTAAAAATATTATTGTTAATAACACATAGTAAGAAGGACTGCCTTAGTTCCTCGAGGATACTTCAATAATTCAAGTGGCTTACATATAACCCCATGAGGGCTAGTCATTTTTACTTGGAAGACAATCTGTTAACAATGTCCCTCCAATCTCCCAAAGTTCAGTGCGTCCAAATCTCAGGAAAGGATACACATTAGCTGAGAGACAGTTCAGCAGTGTATTTAAGTGGTTAACTATACAAATCTGAATTAACTCAGGTGCAGAGCTGCAAGTCAGTGCAGCAGGTACCCTAGCTCTGTGACCTTAGGCAAGTTTCTTATTCTCTCAGTGCCTTGATTTCCTCAACTACAAAATGCAGACAGTAATACTACCTGCCTCCAAAAGGTCATTGAGAGGATTTTAAAAAGCTAGTATGTGGAATCTGAAAAACTCATACAAGTAAACTTATTTACAGAATAGAAAGAGACTCAGACATAGAAAACAAACTTATGATTACCAAATGGGAAAGGGGAGCATAAATTAGGAGTTTGTGATTAACAGCTACACACCACCATGTATAAAACAGATAAACAGCAAGGAATTACATTCAGCATCTAGTAACAACCTATAATGAAAAAGCATATATGTATAACTGAATCACTATGCTGTACACCAGAAACTAACACATTGTAAATCAACTACACTTTAAAACTTTTAAAGCTAACACAAGTAAAACACTTAGAAGCACATATGTAACACAGAGAATATAACACACGTATGTAGACTGACACATATGCACATCAACATGTGCATCAACAGAGTCACTTCCTGCTCCCACCTATACCTCCCCTAGACTCAAGGCTCAGAAACCCTTGCTTTTGAGCTGTATGGGAGTCCAGACACACAAAAGTGAGAAGCACAAGTAAGAATATTCATTACCTGCCATAAATTTCATCTCTTTCCTATAATGTGAAACAAACATTTGCTTTATTTAGATTAAATACTATGCATACAAATACACTTTATATCTCCAAGAAAAATAAGCACAGAAAGTCAAGCATTAGTGTTTGGCTACAGAGGTGTTTAAATAGAAATATTACCCAGGAGAGAAAGGGAAAGAAACCAGGATGAACACGTACACACGACCAAACCCCATTCCCACCCCAAACTGTCTGGAGTAAATAGCCCGTGGTCTGGAGATGAACTGGTGGTGAGAAAGCACAGCTGACAGCCAGAGCAGGGGCCGCGGCTCAGCCGTGGCTGTCTGTGGGAGAGCCTAACAGCCGAGACAGAATGACCAGCTTTAAATCTTGGGCAAATGACTTTACCTTTCTAGTCCTCAATCTTCTCCTATGTAAAAATAGCTCCTTGTCTCAAGCAGGGTTTCCAAGGATTAAATGACATAAGGTACATTAAGTGCTTGCCACTAACCAAATGCTAGCTCTTTTTTCCCTCATGCTGTTAACATCTAAATTCTTTAAATTCTATTAAAGAGGGAGGATATAGCTCAGTGATGGAGCACATGCTCAGCATGCACAAGGTCCTGGGTTCAATCCCCAGTACCTCCACTAAAAATAAGTAAGTAAAACCTAACCACATTACCCCCCTCAATTTTTTTAAAATAAATTTTGGGGGGGAGGGTGTAGCTCAAGTGGTATAGCTTATGCTTAGCATGCATGAGATCCTGGGTTCAATCTCCGGCACCTCCTCCAAAAATAAATAGATCTAATTACCACCCTACAAATATTAAAAAATAAAAATAAAAAAATTAAAATCAACGGATCTGGGTGAGTTGTTTTAGTTCCTCTCATAGATTTACTTTACCTCGGTTATAATTAAGTTCAGGCCTTTACAAAGGGCAGAGATAAAGACCATCCATTTAAACCCTGCTTCATTTAACAGATGAAAATACACAAGTTTATAAGGTCTAAGTCACTTCCCAACAAGATAATACGTCTAACTGATGGCAAAGCTGACCTCACGCCACCCCTATTGACAGTAACAGCCTGTGAGGTGTGTGCATGTTACACACAGACGTATACATTCACAGACACGTAAAGACACATATATAATAATTCTAGCAAATACATAAGTTACTGGTGCATAGTGATAAACACCGAAGAGATAAGGGAGAAAAATGAAAAAGACACTTTGATTCAAAAATCACACAAAAAAGTCGAAACAGCATTTTTAGACATCTAGTCCTCTGTGACGACGTAAGCAGCAAGGAAGGTGTGTGAGAGCTAAGGAGGGAAAGGTGTACAGGGTGGGGCAGATGAAATGGCTGAGACTGGACTGTGGGCCTGGACCGAGATGTTATTAAGGAGATCTGGCTGCCCTCAGGCAATGGGGAAACACTGAAGATGCTTAAAAAGGGCCTATCTGGGGAGTTCCGGTTGTTCAAGCACAAGACGGCCTTCCTTGCTTAGCCCTGCAATAAACCTTTCCAGGCTCAAAAAAAAGGGCATATTTGGGGAAGATAACTCTGGTAGTAGGATAAAAACAAAGAGCGGCTAAAAACTGGGGCCATGGACATAAATGAGTGAGTAGGAACAGAAGAAACCCAGAACATCCACTAACAGCAAGGCCCCTTGCTCCGTGTCTCACACACCACATTTAAATTAATGCTCCCAGCAAAATTTCTAAGTAGGTATTACACCCTCATTTTTTCACTGAAGAACTAAGAGGCAGATGGTAGGCCCAGTCAAAAGATGACAAAGCAGCTGACAGTGAGAAAGGAAAGAAGAGAATAAATCCAAGAGACAATAAAGAAGCTGAATCACTAAGACTTGAGAGTCTCTGGATAATCACAAACCCTGGACACTTTGTGGGGGGGGTGGAGGTAAAAAGTGGGAGGGGTCAGAAATGGCCACACCCCTAACCCAGTAAAGAAATTAGGGGAAAGTGAGGACATAACTGGAATATGGAGAAGGTGGATTTCTGGCCCAGCTGTTACGGAAACGACAGGCCAGAAACAAGCACCACTCGGAGGGTTGGAGTACTCAGATGTATTACGCCGGTGGGCTCAGAGGGGCTTCTGCTTCGAAGTTCTGAGCACCTTCAAGATGTGCACATGAGGTTTTATAGGGTAAAGTACAAGCTTGGGGTATTCGGCCAATAGGCATGGAACAGCTTTAGCAGCATTATCATCATAAAAGTGGAGGCGGGGAGGCAGTAAACCAACATTCCAAAGCCAGATATGTATCTTTGAGAACCCAGCTGGCTAGCAAAAAAACATCAACAGCAAACCAACACTAATTAACCTAGATTTACAAGTTAGTCTAGCAGAACTCAGAACAGTATTCCAATACTCAGATTTGTGAGTTATCTTGTTAGCCCAGCTCAGCCTCTCCTTCACATTCCTAGACTTGTGAGTTACTTGTTAGACCAGCCCGGCTTTTCCTTCACACAGCGAGTCTGAGGCGAGGCCTGAGACCACAGGGAGCACGGACCCCCAGAGGAAATGGATGACTGTGGGATCCAGGCTACTGGTGGGGGGGGTGGGGGGTGACGAAAGTGAGAAAACAGATTTCTGGGGGCCTAGAGAGTAAAAGGGGAGTGAAAAATGGGTTCTGTGATTTTCTTTCTGGACAATAAACTCTCAAAGTTGCCTACTTAAAACACCCCCATTTTCTTACCTCCTGCACATTCAAGCTTTCACCACCCCCCACTTCCCCATCAATCCACGGAAGCAGGTCTCTACCAAAAGCTGTCCTCTCTTAACACACCCCCACCCCCAACACACACAACACCCAGACTTCAGGAGTGAGCATTTTAAAGGCAAATCTGATTTTAAAAAAAAGAAACAAACAAACAAAAAGGGAAAACCTGCAGAGGATTCCCCTCTGCTCTCAGAATGAGGGCAAAGGTCAGGAAGATGGTCCAGGTGGGTGTGTGTTTCTAGCACCGCCCACCCTCTCCTTGGATCCAAACACATGGCCTTCACTTGTTTCTTTAAATGCATCATGTCCCACCTCAGGGCCACCTACTGCCTTTACAGGGCCTCTAAACATGAATTCTTAAATATCCCCAAGGATATTTTAAAATCCTGGACGTGATATTCACAGGATTATGTATGAGCACGAGAGTTGTTCAAGCAACACAAAATGCTGGTACTACGAGATACCATTTCACTCCATGCACTGTAAGTGTGACATGATGGTAAGGAACAGAAGAACATAAAAATCTAACTGACAAGAACAATCTCAAATAAACAACCTACCTACCACATAAAATAATTAGAAAAAGAAGAACAAACAAAACCTAAAGTCAGCAGAAGGGAAAAAAAATAAAGATCAAGGAGAAAATAAGTAAAACAGAGATTAAAAAAATACAAAAAAAAACCCAATTAAACCAAGAGCTTTTTTTTTTGAAAGAGTAAACAAAACTGACAAACTTCTGGCCAGGCTTACCAAGAAGAAAAGAGAGAGGACACAAATAAAATATGAAAATGGAGAGATTACAATCAACACCACAGAAATTCAAAAAATCATAACAGAAATACCAGGAACAACAATTTGGCAATAAATTGGACAACTTAGAAGAAATAGACAAGTTTCTAGAAACATACAGTCCACCAAAACTGAATCAAGAAAAAATAGATCATTTAAACATACCAATCACAGAAGTGAAATAGAATCACCAGTAAAAAACGTCCCTGCA